CATAAATGATTATATTAGAATTTGACTTTGTATATTTATATTGACAAAACTGTAGTTAATGATTAAAATCACTTTGAGACCATGTATTCATATATGAATGCACATTTTCATTCATAAATATAAAATATTATAGTTTTTAATGAATACAAATATAATCGTGAATGAATAGAGCACAATATAAAAATAAAAATTTAATACATTTGTAATCTTAAATGAATAGAGCACAAATTAAAGATAAAACATCAATTTTGCAATAAATAAATAAACAAAACACATTTACAATCATATATGAATACAATTGTAATCACAAATGAAAAATTACGATGTCTTAATATAAATAAATTTCAGCTCCTTCCAAGTTGTTGTCCATGTGCATTCATATTTCATCCTTATAATCATTTAGGTCATCCGTATCAACTCGGTCGATCTACAAGAAATTAAAGAATTTTTTTGTATTATTTGTCAACAAAGTGCTTAACTCATTAACCAAATACACACTTAATATGAAATGAATAAAGAACGACTTTAATCATCCATAAGAACTAAATCTATATTAAAAATCAAACAAAAAATAACAAATATGCGTAAATCAATAAAGCACAATCCTAAAACATCTTATAGACTCAAGAAGTAAACCTTCTTAATGATTAAACTTAAAAAGCATTGCTTCTTTTAGTCACTAAAGATTATAACTTAATCAAGAAAAAAAATCATTTTTTGCTCTCGTTCTCACAAAAAAAGAAAAAAAAACACAAATGTCACATTCAAATGGTACAAGAACCTTAAAGAACTTACAGAAAGCTACAATTAAAAACAAAAAACGAATTCAAAAACAAATGAGCAAAAAGTAAAGTTCAAAAATAAGCAAAATGGGCTAAAAGTATCGTTCATTTCGAATCAGATTAGCAAAAAAATAGCAATATTCATATTGGTTTTCAGAATCAGAAATCAAACTTTAGTCTTCACATTTCAGAAATCGAAACTTGAAAACTTCATAATCAGAAATCCACTAAGTAAAAAGTAGGGAACCAAAGACTCTCGTATTCAAAATCAGGAATTGGATAATCAAATAACCAATAAGGTTGATTACTTGATGGATCTTAAAGAGTACTCGTTTTGCCAATAACTGACTTGTAGGTCTTGGTCTAGAAACTAAGAACGAAGAACACGAAGTGCAGAAGTGTTTCTTTTCGTTTTTACTCTTGCGTATCTGTGTATATTCGTAGCCCTAGAATCGAGAGAAAGGCAACATAAGGAGGCGCTTCATCTGGTCTCATCGGCGCCTCTTCTGGTGTCACCGATGATGGGTACGACGATGGTGGCTGCGGCCTGAGGTGATGATGCTGAACAGATCTGCATGGTAGTTTGTATACGATGGAGGCGGCTTTATTATGAAACCCTAGAGAGAGAGAAGAGAGAAGGGGGAATATAGATACGAGAAAGATGAAATGAAAGAGGTGAGAGGTGAGAGGGTGAAAAATTATTGGAAATAGGTAAAGTTGCAAATCCTATTATGCCCATCTGATCATTTAAAAGTTACACTTTAATACCATTAGTTTTAGAATTTTTTTTATAGATCGTCCGTTTAATAATAACCTTAGATCTAAGTATTTAAATGGTCTCGTGTTATCAACATTTTAGGTATTCTCGTTTGATTCTACTTGTGTGTGTATAGTGTGTGTGTGTATATATATATATATTATTATATATATATAACATATATATTATATATATATATTATATATATATATATATATATAGGGCTAGGTTATTTTGTTTTCTTACATTTATTGTGTGCTAGAATTCACCAATAGGAATTTAGTAAATTAAATAATTATTTAATTAAATAAATATAGATATTAAATGATTTCCATAATTATATAATATTAAATGATATCCATAATTATAATTCTCTTTTTATGGAAACTAATTAAATCCGTCATTAATGTCAGCAATTACATTCTTTTAGAATGAATTCGCATCTAGATTTTTATATATGCGTTCGTATTTTGTTTAAGGACTCAATCACTTAAAATACAATAAAGTAGCATGGAATATGAAGAACGAGACTCTCATTCTGCTGGAATACACTCTCATTCTTCTAGATATGAATTCATTCTGAAAGAATAATATTGTTGACATTCATGATGAATTTAATTAGTTTCCATAAAAATGAGTTATAAGTATGGATAACATTTAATATACGTATAATTAATACTAAATTCCTATTGGTGCATTCTAGCACACAATAGATGTGGGAAACATTTGAACCTACATCTCTCTCTCTCTGTATATATATATATATATATATATATATATATATATATATATATATATATATATATATATATATATATACTCTCTAATAAATGAAAGTTTTTTTTGCAACTTGTCATCCTCTTATACATTATGTCACATACAATTTTGTGGTATATTTAGATTAAATTTTATTCATGTGTCATTTTGTGGTTTTTTTTTCATTTTATTAAATTCCATATAAGATTTAAATGTAATAAATATAATAATAAATGTATATCTAATTTATTAATGCAATTTTCCTTATAATTTCTAAATTTCTAAATTGAATCCAACTATTTTAGTTCTTTATTTATTTAAATTATTAGTTTAAATTTAAAAGATAAATAAGCACTTCAATTTTAATAATTAAATATTTTATTTTTTTCTTATAAATTTAAAATTTCTAAATTGTTAGATCTCCATGTTTGTTTATTATTTTTTTTTTTGAATAAATAAATGTAATACATGAGATTCACAACTAGTATATATATATATATATATTATATATATATATATATATATATATATATATATATGGGTGTGTGTCTAGGAAGATGGATGTAGGTGGGTGGGGTTTATATTTTGTTTTTTTTAATTAAATAAATAGTAAAGTAAAAAAAATTTGAAAAAAAAGGGACAAAAATATCATTTCAAATATATTCAATTTTGAAATGGACAAAAAATACAACAAAAAAAAACTTATTTTGGATACAATTCCAAAACATTTTTGACCAAAATCACAATTTTTGACAAATCACGACCAAATTTGCAATTAAGTCAATAATTAACTATAGCAAAATGGTCATATTTATAGAATGTTAACTTAATATTTACCATTAAAAATCAATTTTTTAAATTTGCAATTAAGTCGATAATTAACTATTGTAAAGTGGTCATATTTATAGAATGTTAATATAATATTACAATATGATTTGTGGAACATTTCAAAACCAAATGTTAGAATTTTAAGTTTACATCACATTCAAGCACATATAGCAAGATTGAACCCAAAAGATTGTGATTGAGGGTGGATCCGGCAAACTTTACAGGGTCATTTTCAGTAACTTTTGTCTCATTGACCATGGTCTCATTTTAGTCCAATATATGTCAAACACATAGACTAAATATATGTCAAACACATTATAGTCCAATATATGTCAAACACATTATAGTATGTTACAAAGTCCAATATATGTCAAAAACATTCCGGTTTGTTACAAAGTCTAATGTATGCCAAACACATCACAATCTGTTCTGTAACGTCCCTATTATGCGGAAAAAACAAACCTGAGTGCTAAAAATGATACAATTTAGAACTTAATGTCAGGACTTGCAAAATATCTAAAAGACAAACAACAATTGAATCAAACCAAACTTAAAATTTGTTAACAAAAAATGTTAATCTGCTATTTCAAACCGAAGCTTCTAAATATTCCACCAAGGGAAGTAGATCTGGATACGATAAAATCTATCAGAAAATTTGGGCTTCCAGATTCAAAATGTTCTTTTCCTTAACTTCAGAAAACAACTGGAATTGGCTTTTAGTATATATGATCCATTGATTGCTACTCCAAACAGTTAAAGATTTAAGACAAGACAATCTATAAAGATGAAACTGAACTTTTGTAGAATCATCCAGAAGCGCATGAAATGAAGCAAACATCATTGATTCATTGCCAGATTTTATGCACATTAAAACCAACATAAATTACACTAGATAACTCCTAGCAAATCTTACTATGTTGAACAGATTCAACATTAAACTTCATGGATTACCCAAAAAACAAAGGATATGATATATGCCCGGCTTTACTCTACTTGCTATTTATATGAAGACTGCAAAAGCTTCGATAAAAACTTCAACTTCACAGTCCAAAAGGGCATCAGGATTCAGGCAACAAACAAACTACTAGTAATCAAAATTCAGTCAAGGAAACCTGTTTTTCGCCACACGGCATTACGAACTAATCGCAGATCCCTCCCTTTCAGCGTTCTTCCAGCGCCTTCCAGAACTGAAAAAGTCGTATGCGGCGACTTGGATGAACCTCTCGCTACGATCTCGTGCGGCGGAAGCATTTCTTCTTCGTCATCCTCTCCGATGTCAACGTCAGCAAGTTCGCCGCCGGTCCTTGGCTTCCTCGCGAACATCGGAACATTCACCGGAGCCGATTGTTGAAACTTCAGCGGCATAGACTGCGACATATCTCTATCTAGCTTATTAGGCCTTGGAATCGAGGGAATTAACCGCGAGGATGATGGAGCAGGGGTCGTTGGAGAAGAGATAGTAGGGTTTCTTCGGTTCAGAACAGGGCGATTGTTAGGTTTACGGCCGTTATCCTCCGGCAATGCAGCCAGAATGCCGAACTTATCCTGATGCCGGAACGGCTGATGGTTACCGGTAGGGTTCCAGTTGTTTCCCTTGACCGGATCTCCCGGTTGGCGCTTCTGTTCGGCGAAATCCCCTGTCCAGAACACGTCATCTTCACTGAAATCGTCTCCTGCAGCAGACGATCCACCAGAGATGACGCCGGAAGATGAAGGCGGCGAGAACACACCGAGGAACCTGTCGGAAGAAGGTGACCGCCGATGACGGTAGCTAGCAACACCATTCGGTTCCATCAGATATACATGAATGCACTCTTGACTCGGAGATTATATTGTTGCAGAAAAAGGTAATTATCAGGTACAACGAGACCCTGCTTAACCTTTTACATCTAATACTCAATCGACGGTTAAGATTTGCTTCCGGTGGGACCACCGTGATCTGGGCTCTGATGATCACGAGGATTTGAGTTGTTATATGATGACGTGGCGTGTGGACGCCGAGTGACGGAAAACGTAATTAGATGGCATAAGCCCAAGACGTGGGCCCCATTTTGACTATGCACTATTAATTATTTATTTATATTTATTTATTTATGTTGTTTGTGTAATGTTTATTAGTTTTTCTTAAAATATAATGTATTTTTACTATGTTAGTTTAAATGGAGTGATATGGCTATGCATAACAATTAAGTTAAAGGGTGTAGTAAACGTTTTTTATTATGAAAATTTGGTTTCACATTAGTTTTATTATTTTTGTTATGTTTTGCCTAAAACCATACGGAATACAAGTCACGAGCCGGTCCGTGATTGAGGTGGCAACAGACCATGACTGTGCACACCAGCCCGGCCGGTCGTGGTTGCTTCGTTTCGTGGTGAGTCGTGGTGACCATTACGATTGTAAACGACGAATGAGATTGGTGCTTTCCTCGATTGTAAGTTAACGGTTATATTTTAAATATGTAACGTTTATATATATATATATATATATATATATATATATAATTTTTACCTTTCAAACATCATTATATATCTTCTATAAATACCACACTTATTCTTTCCTTTTACTCACACAATTCTTCTCTCATTTTCTCACAATCACACACTTGTTTAGCTTAGGGAAAATGACACAAATGCCCTATGAACTTTTTAGGGTTTACCCGTTGAGTCCCTAAAGTTTTTGTCAGGTTTTATGGGTCCCTAAACTAGGATATGATCTGCTCTTTTAGTCCATGTCAACCTGTAATAGTTGGTTCAGTGACATTTTAGACCAAAAAAACTCATATCGTGCCCCTTTAAAGCCAAAAATATAAGTTTGGGGATCAATTCGTACCAAAAAAACTCTCCTTTTCTTCTAAAGCCGATTCACACTCAATTCGTACCCTCTTGAACCAAATGCTCATCAACATTTTATTTAGCCATTTCAACCACCATAACCCACCTTAATCACCATCGAATCAATATCACAACAGCCCAATCCAAAACACCCTTATTCTTCCCCTTTGTCTCGTGAAATAAGCCACCATTGGAGTACCCATAACCCACAAAAACCACCAGTCAGCCACCATAAGCAATCACCTGCAAATCAAAGAAAAAAAGAGATTAACTCTCGTTTTCTATGTGAACCTCATCAAACCCACGCATCCTTCTCAACATTGCATCCATCAAACCTGCAACTCGGAGGGAGAAGGAGAGGTAACTTGTGCGATTTTGAACAACGAATAAGGAAGGAGGGGATCAATTCCTTGAAGAGCTAAAATCGAATCAAAGAAAATAGTGGAAGGGGGTTATGATTGAGAATCGATTAGAAGGGGAAGAGGGTTGTGATCTTCGGTGAGTGTGTGTGACGATCGAGGGTGAAGACGGAAAGAAGAGCAACGATCGATTTCTTGGGAGGGTACGAATTGAGTGTGAATCGACTTTAGAAGAAAATGAGAGTTTTTTTTGTACGAATTGATCCCCGAACTTATTTTTTTGACTTTATAGGGGCACAATGTGAGTTTTTTTGGTCTAAAAGGTCACTGAACTGGCTATTACAGGTTGACGGGGACTAAAAGAGCAGGTCATATCATAGTTTAGGGACCCATAAAGTCCGACAAAAACTTTAGGGACTTAACGGGTAAACCCTAGAAAGTTTATAGGGCATTGGTGTATTTTCCCTTTTGCTTAATCATTCAAAAACAATGCATCCTAAAAGGATGAATTGGTTAGAGAAGGAAGAAAAGAATTTAGCACTAGCTTGGGTATCGGTGTCGGAAGAGGTAGAAACTCAAATGCGTAATGAGTTTTAGGGTAAAAGTTTGAAACATTTTCCATGAGTTAATGGATTGTCGAAGTCGTAATCTTGATGAAATATGTTCGAAGTTTCGCGATATGAGGGTTAAATGCCTTGAGTTTGATGGAATTTATAACTTTGTTACAAACAACGTACATAAAGGCGAGCCGTTTGTTGTGACCATGCAACAATATGAAGACACAAAACACATACCGCTAAACACGTTAAAGCTTCGCTAAAATTGAGTGAGTGCCCAAAACTCAGTCATTAAAAACATAAGGTTCAAAAACTAGTTTAAGTTGTTTATAGTTGCATTTTTATGTTTTTTCTATTTTATTTTAAGTTGTATGTTTAAATTAATGTAATGTTTGTTTAATTAAATAAAAAACTAGTTTTAAAAATATATGTTTTATTGTATTTTGTTAATGTAATGTTGTATTTTAGTTTATTGAAAAACTAATATTTTAAAAAAGTTATATATTTTTAATGTATTTTTCAATTAAATTTAATTAAAAAAAAAATAAGGTAGAGTGGTGTGTTTAGTGATAGATATATCATTGTTAGTGGTAAAGAGTGTAGTGATAATGTGGCATCTACCACGGTAGTGGTTAGTGGTGGATATAACGGATGACCTAAATGGAACGTATGATATCTTTGCCTATCAACTTTTTTTCTAATTTAAAAAAATATAGCATTTACTAACCAAAATAAATACATAAATATTAATTGAAATAACATAATATTTCATTAAATAAACATTGGTTGAGAATAAAATTTTAATATTTTTTCTTGAAATAAACATATCATGTTTGAAGAGTTGTATGATGTGCATTAAAAATAATACACATGAACTTGTTGGGTAAAAGTCAAACATGCCAAACGTTTATGCATTGGCTTGTTGTACCATGAGCTAATCCAAAAATACCATGGAGTGGTATAGGTTTTGTAAATAGTTGTGGATAAAAGTTAATGTGTTTTAATCGGCGGTGAGAACTCACGGGGGAAAATTATCGCCGGCAAAAATTACGATCAAGTGGCGGTGTTTGCCGCCGGCAACACCCATCACATCTGCATACCGACGGCAAGATTATCACGACACCCCACAGCCTTATAAAACATTAGTTTATGTAATTTACAAATTATTTCTATAAATTCATGTATATGTACTTTCTGCCCGTAAAAACACATCCTCCTTAATAAATTAAGGTTTTTTTTGCCACTTGTCAATTTCTTATGAGTTTTGACACTTGTCATTATGTAGTATTTTTAGAATAAATAATATCCATATGTCATTTTATGGATTTTTTCAAATTTTAAAATTAAAAGTCACATAATACTTTTACTTATATATGTAAAGTATTTATTGTAATTAATGTGACAGTGAATTGCAATGAATATGTTTCTTTCTTCCTTATTTTTTCGAAATTTTATTTTAAAAAATATTTAATCTGACACTTTAATATTTAATATTTATTTTAATCAACCCGTGTAATATACAGGTTTAACACCTAGTGTGTAATAAGTAGAAAAAGATATATCAAAGTTATTATCCGGTGTATCTATCTCATTCAACCAACTCCAAACGGATGCATTAAAATGTTGTTTTGGTGATAAAAACCACATATGAAATTATCAATTGATAACACGATATAATAAAATTAAAAAATATACGGTGCAAAACGAAATTATTACATAATTAAATTTCGAATTTGAAGTTGTGTTCACGTCGTGTGTAAAAACATGATAGTATGTTGTTTTGTGTCTGTGTTCAAAATTCGACACAAAATTGATACGATTTAACATGTTGTTGTCATGTTTTTCTTGTTTGATGTGTTATGTATGCTCAAGTATGATTTAAATAAACTAATGTTTATTTTACGTTATCTTTTTCATGTCATGTCATGTTTTTCGTGTTTTAATTGGATTGTTTTCGTGTTAGTGGAAAAAAACACAACATCATGTGGTGTCGTATTCGTGTTATATAATACAATGTCATATTGTGTCAGACAATACACAACAAGATTGTTCAACTTGACACCCATAAAACATATTGTATTTTAAAACTGATTAGTAATATATATATTAAATTGAAGTTATATTTTTCATGATACACCAAAAAATTGCATTTAACAAAATAGTACAATTGGAGACCAAAAAAGAGCAAAAGTCCTTGGGAGTTCACATAGAGTATGGAGAGCAAAAGACTTAAATACGTCGGAGATTTAGAGGAATAACATAGATGGACAAAAGTCAACCTCTACCGAATAAGATACAACCTTCCAAGAAGAAACCAAGATCATACCGCCATAGACTAGGTCACCACAACGAATGACATTCCACCATCTCGTATAGTTAGCGTCATGGGGAACCTCTGACCTATTGAAGGTCTTTCAAACTCTAGGGTGTTTTGTCGAAGTTTACGTTGCTCAAAAGAAATATGGGAAAGGTGCTAACTTTATATTTACTAGATACATCAAAAATTTTAATAAAGGGGGCTTGAGAAAATAATCGAGATTAAGATTGGTAACCTCGTTCTCAGCACTAACATATCCAAGTTCAATCGAAAGAACCAAGTTGTTGCCAACATATCGAAGCCTTCATTATAATCAAACAAGTATGGTCCAATTACAATGTTAATGGAGAACCAAACTCGTTTTCCTATGTAAGTTAAGAGGTATCAAGAATGCCATTGAAACAAAACCTTATATTTTTTATTTTTTTTTCGAAAAACTATTACATTTGACAAACTTTTTTATTTGGACAAAATTTTTCGTTTTTGGCTCATAATTCCCTGTTTTTCTTGTTGTTGCTGTTTTAGGCTATGTTTGGCGTACTAGCTGAAAAGCTAGCTGTTAGCTGAAAAGCTAACTGATAGCTGAAAAGCTAGTTGTTAAATAAAAAGCTAGCTGATAGCTGAAAAGCTAGCTGATAAAAAATAACGTTTGGTAAAACTAGCTGAAATATATAAAATTACATAAAAGGACATGTAAGAGTATGTGTTTCTATAATTAATTAAGGGGTG